GCTGAACGACGTCATTTGGAAGCATAAGTTATATTTCCTGATGTTAAATAAGAAATGTTTTGATTCGGCGGTATATCTGGCAAGTGAAGTTTTTAATGGCTCTGGAGGTTCTCTAATTTAAAGCAATTTAATTTTTCCAGTGGTACAACACATTCCTTTTGTTTCTTCATTAAATTTCAGATCCTTGCAATAAGGACATATTTCAGTTGTTATGGTGCCGATAAGAACATACGGGATCAAACTATAATCATCAATTGGGTTGTACCAGAATGCAAGACGATTATAATTAGGTGATTGCTGAGCACTAAGTCGTGTTTAATGTCGATCTGTTGTCTCTTGTTGACGTCTTTTACCACCGCTCTCAACCACTCGCATCCATTCTGTTGAGAACGAAGCAGACTGAAATTGCAGAAAGCGATCGCCGTGGCCGTGCAGAACGACAATTGCACGTCGCTCTACTGTTTCCCCGCCATGCATTTGAGCTATTCATTCTATATCTGTTTCGCTTGTTCGCTGATGTCCATTCTTCCTTAATTTGATTTGCAGTTATTCGTCGTAGTGTTTCTGCTCGACGAGCACGACAATTAAAGTTTGATCTTCTACGAAGCATTATTTTGATGAACTAAAACAGATCGACTGCACTGAAAAAGAAGAAAGTTAAAACAAAAATATATCAAACTGCAAAAGAAAAAGTAAAAACAAAAATTTATTCATAAGAAGATGCACTGAAAGATAAGAGAAATAGTTAAGAAAATAAATGAAAAATAATGGATAGCGAGGAATAATTTCCAAAGAATATATCAAAACTTACCAAAAATTATCGAGAAAGCTATGTTGATTTGTATAATGAGCAGTCTACCAATAGAAAAGTTTACTTGCAGTAAAGAAATATAATAACAGTTCAGTATAATTCAGATAATTGAATTATATGATAGTAGTGATGATTCAAAGATGAATGGAATTGGAATGTATCGTTGTGCGTAGATAAAACAGAATGTGTCCGCCTCCCGGTTTTAGTGCTTATATAGAGGGGAGTCTGTTTACAAGTCATAAGGTCATACCGATTAACCCAAGATAACCTGAGGTTCTTTAAAATGGATCGACAGTGACCTGAGACACAGTTA